AGGCCGGCATGGGCCTATTGGGTGCCAATGGGCCTAAAATCGATGCGTTTTGCTTTCTGGTTGCTAGTTTTCGACTTTTTTGTACAGTACAGCCTCTGCGGGTGCCTACCTGTTCACCCTGCACAATCCAGAGGTTTTAGCCTTAATTTATCGCGAACCGTGCCTTTAAAGGCAGTGGGCAATATTACTGCGGGTGGGCGGCTGTTGCCGTCATTGGTGGCGGTGCTGGGTGGCGTATCGCAATTCTTCCACCAGTTACACTAGCAAAGATCACCCGCCTCCTGCCTACTGTCTTCAGGTAGAGATGTGGGATCTTGTGAAGTTACGAAGAGATACCAGTCAGAGTTTGTAAAGACTGCTTGTCAGCCCTTATAGTGAATACCTGTCAACTCTTTCAGAGCAACGAACACGACGACGGAAGTATTGAGTAAGCAAAATGTCCTTCCGACCCACGGAGCCCACTGGACCGATCTCCTAAAGGAGCCGCTTTGGCAGAGAACATGATCAAAAACATGTACACCCCAACAGGGTCCTCGATCCTGGGTCATCGAGCCTGAAGCTCCAAAAACCCTACTTATCGTATCCCGGCTTTTTTAACGCTTGCTGCAGGTTCTCATTCCTTGTTTTCCGCCCAGGAAAAATTTCGACCCCTTTTCCCAGCAGTAAGTGTGGGCATTGACTGCAACCACTTAATTCATTTATTCAGAACTTTCACTGATATCTTGTAGTTGCACTTCATGGTCACCAGGTGACGAACTTCTGCCATTCACCAGGTCACAGGTGATTGATAGAAGTGCAAGCGCACACACCGTTACCGTATGACAACTACAACTGGCGAACATTGTTGTTATCGTTTCCCACAGAGCTTTTTTGCTTCGACTCCAACATGAGAGCCAGCACCTTGGCAACGGGAATGTAATTTCACTTCACTACTGTTATAAGGCACTACTTGATGTATTGGTAACTAACTACAAGCTGCTTTCGATCACCTCGTTTAGCTTTGTTCACATTCCCACAATAAACAAATGGGTTATTCGCCATGTTGTTTATTTGTCTGTTTTGTTTACTCCCTTTACAGAACTAGTACTGTCCCTAGGTCTACCAAAATGACTAAGGAACCTCTCAACAATCTAGTACCCTGCAAAACGGTCTCCCTTCTTTTGAAAACCCACGATTTTCTTTAATATTAGATTTTCTGCAAGATGTGGGGTGCTAAGCTCTAAACCCAGCATTGATTGGGCGTCACTGAGCCGTTCTGGATTTTTCTTCATGGGGAAACTTCCCCTTGGGAAATCGTTGTCGAAGCTGTAGTTTACAGCCATCACAACCCAGGTCCGTATTCCGGTTGAGGTTAGTTCTGTTTTTGCAAAAAATCTATCCGCCACCTGACAGCTGCTTACAACATTGATTCATCAGATGCAGGTGTCCTCTTGATATGCAAAGGACTTAGGATAGTAGTTTCCCCCTAGCGACCATTACTAGTTTGTCACATTGGTTGGACCTTTTGCCATTTTTTCAACAAATGATGTCTTTCACGATCACAATAGCTCAAATATGTTGGTGAGAGTGTAGACCCTTCTTCACTTAACTCTCATGAGGTTGGTAGATGACTTGTTTGGCTTACGCAGGTTTCTCAATCTTTAGAGGCAGTGAAAGCGTTTTCTTAAATATTTGCCGCTCTTACAAGGGATTTCTTTCATGTCGTGGGCCCCTTTTGTGAGACGGTCCCTCTTCTGAGATTCCTAAGAGTGAAAAAAGTTCCATGAATTCACGGTTAACTCGGCGATAGTAAGCTCTTGCGGCTTTGGAGAAGGAATTCGGGTGCTTCGTACAAGTGGCGGTCGTCCAGGTGATCGTGTGAACTCCCTCAATCCATTCGGCCCCGTATTATGGCATATCACACCGTAATTGCTGTCTTAACTATGCTGTGCCCTGATTGCATCTGTGTGTCATTTCTTTTGGGAGGGAAGGGGGGGGGGGAAGGGGAAGAGTACCCTCTGGAAAGTGCTGGGAAGATAGGTTGAACACTGTACAGGGTCTGAATTGCTTTCTTAAGGAATGTTGAATTTTTGAGATTTTCCCATTTCACCAGTGTGCTGTATTCACCCACCCCTCCCTGACGACAGGTTTCTGGGGAAACTGAAGTTTCTGAATTTTTGAAAAAGGGGAGAGTGGAAAAGTTAAAAGCGGTACAAATTTGAGAGAATTCAGGAAGACAGAAGATAGGATAGGGAAGAGGACTCGCACCGAAGAAGGAATTATTTTTCGGGGGGGGGGGAAGCGCATATTGCGAAGTATTCCACAGAGGCAGGACGGTTGTCAACTACTTTACCAACAAGTTTTTTCCTTCATACGTATCTCCACCGCCTTTTCAATTCTTGCAATGCACAATGTTCAGTTAAATACTTCTTATTCTGCCCGATAGAAGCTTCAATGACTAGCGCCATATTCCGTTTTACCGACATGTTGCGGTTCCATTAAGCATGAACTGTTACCCATGAAATGAAGTAAAATACACTAGTTAATTACAATCTTTCCAGAGAATTTCGTAGTCCAAAGTTAAAACGACCATGGGCTCGTCACATTCGAAGGAGAAGGAAAATGCCCTCAGTATGGGTCGGCTACGGGAGGATATGAAGTTGTACAAATTGGTGGATATGCATGGTGGCGGAGAGTTATTACCATGGTTCAGGTGAGCGTTTCACGCAGTTTGGCTTGGTGGGGCATTTTGCTGATTCGATCAGTGCCGGCTCCTCCCGTGAAGTCCCACCAATTCCTGTGAAGTAATTTTACAGCAGGGGCTTCAGTTGCACTTGATGAGAGTGTGCAGGTCTAACCAGAGTAGATCTGCAAGTTGTCAGGAACTAGCAAAAGAAATTGGCAACGGTGCAAAATGCCCCTCCCAAGCCAAATAGTATTAAAAAACGGGTGCACGCTAAACTTTGAAGAGTTGAACTTTTCGTAGAAACGTCCCAAGACTTTGGAACAATTCATCAGCCCATTCACGCGAAAACGGGTTGATTGCCCATAACTAATCGGTTTAGATCAGTCAAAATCAGTGCCCACTTTGTGGCAAACGTGCTGAAGTGGAAACTTGCAGTTTGAGAGCTTTTCAAAAGGGTTCAAAGAAATCGTTAACTGGATGCCATTGCACCTGTTTCAATTAAAGTTTTTCCTTCTACCATCGCCATTATATGATTATGATGGAAGTAATGTTTTCGATATGCACGAAGTAGTGGTGATTACTCGTTAATCGATGGCTATATGGAAACAAAAGTCCGTGAATCAATGTACAACCAAGGGAAGGGCAAACTGGTAACAGTAACAGAACTCGTAAAAATACGCAATAAGGTATGCACTTTTAATGAGTTGTCCTTTCTCTGAGACCGATAGGTGACCTTTATACCAGCAAGTACACTCCATATCCCAGAGATGGAGAGTCCGTGGCTGCGTACTTCATTCAAATAGTGGCGACAGCTGCGCTTCTGGATGGATACTGCAGTTTCAGAACAATTGCAAACATGACTTTGTAAGTGCAAGATAGGACAATACCTGTATCGAATGGAAATATCCCACGAAGAACACATCTTACGACATGTTAGTACACAGCCACGCCCATTCCATCCCTGGGATATGGACGTAGAAACATGGTAGTGCTTCAGGAAAGAAATGAACGGCTGAGCGCATTCTCACGAAAGAAGGGAAAAGGCAAAAGTGGTCCCAATGTGTTGGACGAGTTTAAACAGGAAGGCGAGAACGTTGGTGATCTGAAGAAAGGTAGGTAGGAAAGGTTCAGGCTTACCTGTATCAATGATAGCAAAATGATAGCATAATCGATAGCAGCGGATTCAGAGGGTTAGAAGGTTGACCAGCTGACTCTAAAATATAGGAAGATTGTGTGCCTTATAATTAATCATTATTCTGTGGGATCACGGCCTGCCCTGGTCCCTG